TCAGTAAAAAACAATAAAACGTCCGTGGCAATGCGTTTTACAACAAATGATATTTTCACACGTAAAAATATCGTATTTTTTACGTGTGTTTAAATACGATTTTTCTCAGTGGCCAAAAACTCTATATAACACTTATGTTTATATAATAAAACTATTTATTTCCAAACAAAATGGCTGGCCACTTGCAAACAAATCATCGAAGAAAAAATTGAAGAAATTAAAGGAACATATTCTATTCCTCTAAAAGCAAAAGAAGCAACAATATATGGCGTTAACCTATTTCCCAAAGACGAAAACACCTTTTAGATACCCAAAACAATTTATTTAATTTAGCAATTTAAACCCGGAAAATAACAGAATCCGGCGACACGGTTCCGACAGCTGGATTCGTTTGTATATAATTATTTTTCAATACTGAATTTATATCTCCTTTGGTGATTAATTGTTAAATATTGTCAGTTTACAGCAACAGAATTTACTTATCAATCTAATAATACACAACTGGTAAATACAGGTACTGCAATGAGAAGGTTCTTGTTTCGGCATTATATGACTAGTATAATACTAACCCTGTATGGGTTAAAATTTAACCTGCTGTTTTAACCCTGTATGGGTTAAAATTTAACCTGCTGTTTTAATTTAGTCTCTCTCCTCCGCAGAGGTTATTTATTCTATTTATAATGTTCTTCGGTTCTCTTCGGATAGTTCTCGGAGTTAATTGCGATAGTTTTGTCACAGAATAGATACCAGACCAGAAGGGACACTCCTATCTGTTTTGGCTGAAGGAAAACGTCCGAAAATTTTTACGTGCTATGACGCCATCCTGGAGTACACACGGCACTTTATACCTATGTTTGGCCTATGAAAAACTTCCCGTGTGCACTCCAGGATGGCGTCATATGATGGCGTATTTTCACGTCATCACTCGTAAAATTTCGGACAAAATATCGTCTGAGTGACACTTCTGGTCCAGTATCTATTCTGTGGTTTTGTCCAGCGCCCTATCGCGATTAACTCCGAGAACTATCCGAAGAGAGCCGAAGAACATTATAAATAGAATAAATAACCTGCGGAGGAGAGAGCACTCCTATCGCGATAAGATCTCTGAAGAAATATTTCCAAATTTATAGACTGACAAGCTGTCAGGACTCACTCAATCCACGCCGCCGCCGCAAATTTCGAAACCGTCGACGGTCGAGCACCGATCATTGTCCATTGATGAACACTCATTAATTTCGTTTCCAGATGGCGTTTGCGGGCAGCCTCGTATCCAGGCGCAAATAACGTACTAAAAATAGCAACACTACAGTGTTTTTATATAGATCAGTGGCTAAGATGAGCAAGCACGGGGGGGGGGTGCTGGGGGAAGACGCGGGAAACGAAGCTGCAGAACCTCGTCGTGTCCTCCCCAAGCACCCCCGCGCGCTCGCTCATCTTAGCCACTGATCTATATAAAAACACTGTAGTGTTGCTATTTTTAGTACGTTATTTGCGCCTGGGTATGAGGCTGGTCACACGTGCAGTCAAATTTCGATTAAAAATATCACCCAACCGTTCTCTCGAGTCTAGCTTTCTTTATTGAATCTTTATAATACGTCGGTTCTTACAAAATTTCTAATCAGAAAAATGAGAATATTCAGACACACAATTTGCAAACAACACGAGTTTGCACGAGTATCAAAATATGGCGCCCAGAAAGATTTCATGTGGTGTTTCCACTTTACAAAAACAAAGATTATTGATGTGCGAGATCCAGGAGGCGCCGGAAGCAATGTGAAGCGGCGGGGGCAGCCATTTCAAAAGGGCACTTGCTTCTGAGCCATTATTTTTCTGGGCGGCAACATTTGTTAAAACTTTATTGTATGGATACCCGATTACTTGTGGCTATTGTGGGTCGCAAACTTCGACAGTAATTTTGAACAATTTTATTTGTTGCACCATGTTAAGGGCGAAAAATAAAATCAGTAAACGGACGTATATTGCCTGATTTAGCATTAATCATGGGCCGCAGAACCGGGGGCAATGGGGGCATGTGCCTTCCCATTTTTTAAAAGTGAAAAAATGCTCTTTTGGGGGGCTAGAAAGAAAGTGTCCTTTTTGCAGTAGTAAAGACTCTGTAAAGGCCATTAGGGACTCGGGACTCCATATTTTCAAAAATTTTCGTTCCGCTCGTGAAGGACTTAAAATCGTTTGATTTTGATCATAATTATACAAAAGTGATTCCGCAGCCTCTGGCATTAATTTTACTATAACTGGTTAAAATTAAGCAAGGATTGCTAGTTAAACATTGCTTAAAAATAGTTATATATTTCAATTCATGCGAATAACGCACAAATTTCGAAGCGCAGTTCTGGTGAAAATGGGCAACCTGTTGACGCCGTGCCTCTCCCGCACTCTTTCGGCAACGGGGGCAGTTGCCCCCGCTGCCCCCGTAGCTCCGGCGCCCTTGGCGAGATCGGAGATTTCGCGACAGATACCGGAGAATGAAAGCAATAACATAAATGAAAAATTAAATTAACCCACCCCCATGGTACGGGATGAACTCTTTTGAGCAGAGGAAACTGCTACATCTTTCTCGCGGCGAGTTGTTTTGCCAAACCAATCAGTGTTTCATGTTTTATATTTCACTATTGTGGAAGCCATGTTTGCGCTAGATGGTAACTCTTATATAACAAAATGGCTGATAGTGATGTACTTGAAAAGTACAGGGAGAAATTCGACGTTTCGAGCGAAGTTCTTTCGTCGGGAAGCTAGTTCTTCGTCGAGAAGTTTGCCTACTAACTCCCAGACGAAGGGCCTTCGCTAGAAAAGTTGAATTCCCCTTGTATTTTCCACGCACTTACATTCCTATCAACCAAGTTTTGCTATTATTGATAGTAATCAAGTAATGTAACAAACTATGGAAACCAGTCCCTTTTTTAAGGAATTTTCACTGGGGGGGGGGGCAAAACAGGAAAAAAAGGCAGAAAGAAAAATATGAGCCGTCGAGGTTTGGCGAACGCGCGAGTCTGAAGAGAGATTTTGTAAAACTTTAATTTATTAACTTCAGCTATATTTTACTTTAAACAATAACTTCAACTCTTTGTAGCTATAATCGTACAGCTATAACCAGTGGCGTAGCCAAACCTTAATTTTGCGGGGGGAGCGAACCTCACGCCGAAGGCGTGAGAGAGACCGTCTAGGAGGGTTCGAGGTCCGGAAAATTTTGAAATCTAGGGTCCCTGAATTGCGATTTCATGCATTTTGGGGGTGAAATCTAGCAGAATTCCGAAGATAATAAAGTACATCGAACACACGATTTTTTCCAGACATTTCTACTCGGAATTAAATAAATTGGAAAAGTCACCTTGAAAAATAGGAGGAGGGGTCAGTGTCACCTTATTTCCTCTCTGTGATGCTGGGGGTGGGGGGGAATTCTAATGTGATTTTGATCAGAAATGTTGAATTTAAATCATTTTAGGTTCTATGAGACACTATTTCCGCATTCTAAAAATTGCGTTGCTTTTTCATACGATACAGAATATGTCTGAGAAGAAATATTTATGCTATGATGATGCATACATGTATTTAACAGTTAAAAAATTAAACTAAATCTTTTCTTCTTGGAACCATATCTACAACTGCTTTAACGAGATTTCACAAATCAAGTTCCTCCAGTATATCGTCTTTTTTTCTCAGTCGAGACGTACTTAATCAGTTTCAGCTTAGAGCATGTAACATGCACCCCCCCACCCGCCCCCCCCCCAATTTCTCTGCGGATTTAGCCTTTTTAAGAGAATGGCTCTTGTGTCGATGGGGGGGGGGGGGTTCTTAATGTAACTTGTTATTTTTAAGAAAAAAAATTTTCAATTAATCCTCCCAAAACAAAACAAAACAAAACGTCTCTGCGGAGGAGAGTGCTAGGAAATAGTCGAAAGGCTTGGAAAGGTTAGCATTTTATCGGATTGTTTGCATGAAATCTATCGCTATTATGAAATACTCGGTGAAGAACAATATGAATTACACACAAGATGGCTGTGGAGGAGGCTATGGAAGGGCATAATCTCATTATCAAGTAAATCAACTGCAATTCTGACAGCAATCATGAGCAATTCTGCTTCACACTTCGGGGGCAGAAATGGCTTTACTGGGGGGGGGGGCAAATTCTTTCCCTGGGGGGGCGCCCCCCGGATATATAGTTAAAAAGGCACTGGTTCGTCTCATAGATATCTTATATACACTAGATAGCGCATCTCTTTTAGTAAAATTGAAGCCAAGAATATTACAGCGGTTACCCCCATTTGAATAGATGGCGGCCATGTTGGTCGTTCCCACTTGCTAATAAACGCTTAAAAACAACAATAACTTTCATCATTTGAATAGTTTAAAAACGTATTTGTAATAGGGTTAACTTAATGTTTAAGTCTCCTGTTTGAGAAATAGAAAACATACGAATCTTCTCATTTCATGGGAACGACCTGAGACTGCAATCACGGCTTCAATTTTTGAATTTCAGAATAATTAGATGCACTATCTAGTGTATATAAGATATCTGTGGTTCGTCTCCACAAAAACAACAGCATGGCCGCTATGAAAGTGACAAACGGCAGACGGTCAAATATGTAAACGAAGAAATCGCAAGTGACACCACCAGTGAACACTCCAAGTTGGATGACTATACGTTTATGGTGCAAGATACAGACGAAAATACCAAACATCCAGCGGTTAACTTACCGATTCAAGACCTAGCCAAAGTTAAATTTGTTATTGACACTGGGGCGACAGTTAATTTACTCGAAGAAAATTAGGATTTTGAATCCCTCAAATCGAAAGTGAAATTGCAACACAGTTCTATCAACATTTACCCCTACAAAGTCTCCCCGTGTCCTTGGAAAGTTTACTGCTACTGTAGAATCGCGCAAACGAAATGAAGCTGCTGAGTTTTTTGTTCTTAGCAACAACGGTCGCCTTGAAGGTTCTTTGTTATCATATAACACTGCAAAGCGTCTTGGTTTACTTGCAATTACTAACGCTGTGGAGCATAGTAGCCCAGACACACTGTGCGACTTAAATTTAAATGCTTGGAATACTTAATTACCGTACCTCTTGCGGTTTCGACCTCAAAATAATGTTATTAACGATTAGCTCGAAAATATTCTGAATTTTTACACTAAAATGTATCACTAATCAATAATTATCGTTGAAGGAAATATACTTAGGTGCATAGCATGCATCAACAAAATTAAATATTTTTATACTTTTAGTAGAAGCACTTGAAATCTAGCTTTAAAATCAACTGACATTCACGGCGACGCGGCGGAGGAGCGATTTCTAGGCCATGAATGCTCGATTTTTTTTCAAAACAAAACTTCAAAAGCAACTCAATGAAGGCACTATATTTCAAATCGTATAGGAGCACAAATTCGCTAATATTTTGGTTTTGAGAATCCATAATATTAAGAAAAATAAGCATGGATATAGGCAAGGAACTTTTCGGCTTTTTCTGACCGTAAGTATATTCTAGAATAAACTAGGCTACTAATGTTTTTGTTTCAAAATCCAAAACAGAACTAAACATCGACAAAATATATTGTAGTTTCTGTTCGAAACTTCCCATTTCCTTTTTATTTGCTTGTGTTTAGCCGTGTACTATAAACAGCAAAATTCAATATTACATTTATGATTGTTTCTGCTAGATTTCTGTTTTCAAAAAGCAAAGGAATTCAAGGCACATTCCAAAACATACAAATTCATTAATATATTGACAATATTGTTGTCTTCGAACAATAGTATTAAGATAAACAGACAATGAATATGAAAGTTTTTCGGCGGTTTATTCTGCAGACAACAGGCAGTAATGAGAGTAGTAGGCTATATAGCTCAAAATATACAAATATTAACAAGTTCGGTTGTGTTTCAAGGCGGATTGCTTTTTTAGTTTCATCAAACCTATAAAATCGTACGAGCTATTAAAACGTTCCACAATCAGATGACATTAATGTTATAGTTTTTGTTCAAAACATGCCTTTTGCCTTGTAAAAACTGTAAAATAATAATTATTTTAAAGAAACTTACCGAATCAGGTCGTTTTCAGAAGGGCTTTAAGCAACAAGAACAGATATGGACAAACCATAGGCAGCCTAAAACGGCGTGTATAGAATGCACCAAAATAATGCTTCCAAATGTCAATTTATATTAATGGGGCAGTGTCACGGCGCTGATTGGCTAAAATAAACGGCGCAAAGTCCTCATGATCAGCAGCAAAATGTTTGTACTTTGTGTAACACAAATGAAATTGACTTTATTCAGCAAACTCAGATTTCACTGCTTTTTAATATATATGACCTTGTTAATGTCTTCGTCTATAAATGAAAAGGTAAGTTTTGTTTATTTTAATATAATTGTGTTATTTCTCGGAATAAACTAGTTAGTCACTATTAAATTTCTTGCCAGTTGTCAGACTGCAAATGCAGAAATACGTGCTCGAAGAAAGATGGCGAAAAGAAGAAGGGTTGCCCCTGCAGAACAGCTGGTCGTTACTGTTCTCAGTTATGTGTATGTGGAAATAAAGAGAAATCATGCATAAACAAGGTAGGTTTGTTCATTTTACATAAGTAACTCAACACTGTATTGCGCCTATTTTGCATAAAATATTTGGGAAATACGTATGCAGATTTTATATAGCATGTATGTATATACGCATATATGCAGATTTTATATAGCATATATGTATATATTATAAGCTCTGTTATGCATTTCCTTACATGTATACTTCGTTTCATATGTTTTATCTTTTCATATATTTTGTTGCAACTGTTTATGATGTCGGTTGATTGTTTATTATCTGTTATGCAGGAAGGATATGTTCCGCCACCAAAAAAGAAGAGAAGTAAATCCCAATCTGCTGGCCAAAGTAGCCATGATGACCAGTCAAATGATCTATCAACACCTGCTTTAAGACAATAAGAGGATGATGAAAACAGATTGGAAAACAATCAAGTTAAGGTAAAAAATGCAAGTATAAAATTTTCAAACTTGAATATAATGTAGTCTGTGCACTTTGCAAAAGCTGCCTTGTTTTATATTTAAAGGACATAATTATGTCGTGGATGATTGAATCATATTTTCAACATAAACAAATTTGCATAGTGTTTCACAAACTAATGGAGTAATGCCGAGAATCAAGAATCGTGTGCTTTTAATTAGATATATCAGGTGATTTTGTTTTAATACCTTCAAAATTACTGATTTCTGTCTGAATTTCTCTATATGTTTCAGGTACATAGAAATTGAATAGGGCTGCAATGAGAGTTTGTGTAGGGACAGGGCAAAAATTTTACTTTGTGGCCTATCACATCATAATTAACCCCCAATGTACATAAAAACCCTTCAACTAGGATGTGTCTAAAAATACCCTCAACTTGCAAAGAGGCCATCATAAAAACCTATTTATTAGCATAACTTATAATGCATATTACATTATTTCAAATTATTAGGCATTTCTTGATACTTTGGATGCTGATATGGTTAAACAGCTTGCAACGTGTGTCCTCCAAAAGGGGGTTGGCAGTATGGATTATATTCATAGCATGATGATTGTAATGTATGATGGTGATGAGGATGAAGTACCACCTGTACAACAGAATATCCAGGAAGCATCATCACCATCAAACAGCAATGCAAGACAGGAACCTGTTCCTGATTGGTGCAGATGTGATCATTGCTTTATCATGCCCCAGGCAATTGAAAACAAGTGCTGTAAGCACAAGAAGTGTGTTACAAACACAAGAAGATTTAGAAAACTTTGTCTTGACCCAGAATTTTTGCTACTTAGCAGCCGAAATGTTGGTGATATCCGGAATGACCCACATGATAATAGCACCAGGGCATTTAGAAAGCAGGCATACAGACATTATATCTTAGATACATATGGATATTTAGGTAAAGGAAACAGAAAAGTGGCCCCATCATGTGTGGTGACGTGCAATAGAAGACATTATCCATCTCCAACTGGTGTATATATGGGATATCGAGAACATTGAGATATGTGGTATAAATAATTTTTATTCAGTAAAAAGAAAGATTTTGTTGTGATGGAGCAGTTTCACAATAACTGACATAGCACATCCATCAACAATTCTGAAACCTGCTCACTTTCCTTTGATGAAGTGTCCTTGAATCTTCTGGGGCAACCCCTGCAATTGTTGCACTGATTTTTCTGGGATCATCATCACTCAAATGAACTTTCCGTTTCACACTCTTTTTGTCAGCCATCCTACTGTCAAGTATTTTTGCCACCATCAAGGTAACACATGCATAGTCCTTTGCTTTTTTAATGATCTTCGAGTCCCATGATTTTGTTCTTTGGTTGTACTTTCGGCTTACCATCGCCTCTCCAGGACGAGAATCTAATTCGTTTGCAGGTAAGTCCTTATGGTAATTCCAGTCGATAGCAGCTAACTGTTTTCTGGCAGTAAACACTGGAAACCTGTAACATCAGCAGATGCAACAAACTATTTCAACCATGTCAAGACATTAAATTGCTTATCATTGACTTACTGTTGGCTGTATAAATCAGGAAGCTCGAAAAATACTACTTACTTAAAAGAACATCTCTTTGGACAGTATGCCAGTGACAAATTATTAGCACATTCTATGCTACCTGTGTGCCTAAAATAGAAAAATAGAAAAAATCTGTGCAATAGCTTGAAATGCCATAATAAAAATGCCATTAATGTGCAAAACTCTCCCATTGACAAGTAAAATCGTTTGACATTAGACAGAGTAAAATAATAAAGTAGAGCACGTTTTGGCGCATTGCTAATGCTTATTAATACCTAAAAAAGTAATGCATTTTTTTACCTGAAACGAGTATAGAATCTGAAGGTGTCAAGTAGTTTTGGATTGGTGATGATTTTCTGAAGAGTCTTGAATACCTCCTCTCTTCTATCAAACCATTCCACATTTCTTTCTTCAGGTAACTCTCCATGTCCACATCTTCCTCCTAGCCAGGAATGTGTATTACACACATGATGAAGCAGACCAAACCACTTATCCTGCAAACAAAATTATATTATAGTATAGCATTTGTAAATTCTGAACGCTGATTGGCTAAGAGCCATGTTGATATAACTCAATGTCGACACAGGAAATTTTCTGCTGCTTGTAAACACGGAAATTTTTTTTATCCTTCGGGCTTTTGACATTGCTATATTATAAAAATATATAAAGCACTTTTTCCGTATTGATATATAGTTATATCAACACTCGTGGAAGTTGGGAAAACTCGAAATTGTATGAAAACACTCCCCCTTTCAGGTGTCGTGTTTCCATACAATTTCTCGTTTTCCCAATTCCACTCATGTTGATATAACTGTATATCAACATGGAAAATGTTTTATATTTTGTTAAATATTGTATAGTAGCAGCAGTCGATCAGAATGCGTTGCTTACATATTAATGTATATCATGTGACCCAGTCAATTATTAATTTTAAGGCACAATGTATCGAACACATGTCTTAATGATTATGGAAAAAAACTTAGAGATGAACATTTACCTTCATTTCCTTCACAGCTTCATCCTGAGTCATTTCATTCTTGGAGGCTACTTCACAACAGTACCAAAAGTGTTTAATGATTTTATCACACCAGTCCATAATTTTTTTGTTTTCCTTTGATTTTGCAATCTATAAGATTAAAACTAGAAAGCACTCCTCCAGAATGCAAACTTCTGCCAATATGCTCTACTATTGATCTTACGTTAGGCAACAAACCAACATTATGTGGTATGTGTTAACTCTCTTCAATGACCTACAGTAATTTGCATACCATAATTTGCATAACCCATAAAAGCTTGCCTGTAAGGCTGAATTTCGTCAATATTTCATCTGATTCTTATCCAACATTAACCAAAATGTAATGGTTTCATCTCTGGCATATGAATATTCTCATAGGCATACAGGACTGATGCTTTCCAGGGGGGATGCAGGTGAAAGTTTGCCCAAATTTTTATGGAGGATTGCAATGAAATTGCCTGAATTTAACCTATTTTCTAATAAATCTGCCCGAGTTGTCTTAATTTTTCCAGCATTTGCCTGAATTTCCATGGTGTTTCAAAATTTGGGGGGGGGGGGGGCGTTGCCCCCCTGTTCCGTACGCCTATGAATATTCTTTGCGTTTCTTAAAAATTGTTTACGCATTAAAAGACAGACAAACAAACAGGAGTGAAAACAAAATCGCCTGCCAGAGGTAATGGTTTTCTGCAAAAATTGTATGGATGGAAAAGAAAATAACAAAATGTCATTGACATATCAACAGGCACATTAGTTTTGTTACAAACCTTGGTAATGGCCTTTCTAATATTCTTAGACTTATGCCAAACATCCAATGAATGAAAGATATTCTTAAATTCATCCTCTACATAAAAAAAATTAAAATGATAACTTTCACCATCCTGATTAATAATACATATCATTAACAGTGGTGAAGCCTGCCCACATTTTGGTCATACAATGCAAATATTTCCATGTTAATAGACTGTGAAAACAATCAATTTCCAAAGAAATGAATAATGATTACAAATTTGCATTGCATGACCAAATTCTTGGGCTGGCTTTTCCACTGGTCATTAAGTTTAGTATTATCCAAAGAAATATTATTAAATATTCACCTAACATCTTGATTATACTAGATGAAGCATCTGTGACAACCTCTCCAATATCAAGGACATTTTTTATTCGGTTTAAAATAATTTTCAGTGCTTCACGTTCCATATTAACTGATTTTAGATCAGTTTGCCTTTTATCAGCAATATGAAGGTCAATAATGTAATCTGTTTCCATCTCCCTCAGAAAATAGCACAGGTTCTTAGCCGAGTAGCCTGGAGAGTCACACTGACCATCCCCAGACACCACAATTTTCTTCCCTCTTAGTTTGTTCTGCAGAAAACCTTTATGCCATTCCCACCACTCATTTATAACTGGTAAACAATAAAGCCTTTGGAAACGAAAGAATGTTGAACTTGAAATAAATGACAACCCTAAGAATCTGGCAAACTTCTCCATTTTATAAAAATTGTTTCCTGATAACAAAATGGATGCTGCAGTTTGCAGATTTGTGGCAGCAATCCGATTACAATCATAAGAAGAGTAGAATTTCCCAGCATGACCACTATGGCATGTCCACTCAATCAGTACACATGTGCCAATTAAAGTGTGCTTTGTATACACTTTGTCATTGCATGCTGGATGCCTGCATTTCTCTTGAAAGATCTGAAGCAACAAATCTAGTGTGCAAATTATTTTGGTCGATTTAGCAAGTTTAATCAGCTCTTCGTGCTTTACGTTATGTTCTTCCCTATTCAGTTCATGTGATCTTGGTTTAACATTGGAGGCCAAAAATGTTTTTGGTGGAGACTGCCTGGGTTGCTCAGATACAAAATAATGATCAGATGTAGATGATTCACAAATATCAGAGGGGAGGGGAGGTGGTTGCACTAGTATGTCAGATGTTTCACCATGCTCATCTTCCTCTTCAATTTCAAAGAACCTGCAAAATGACAAACATTTCAGTGAAATAGTTGTCGTTTACTAAGCCCCATCCAACCAGCACATTTTATCTTGTTTCCAGCAATGGCTAGAATTATGACCCTTATTTTAATTAACAGACATTTTTCTATATAAAATTTTCAGTGCATGTATATAAGCTTTGTTTCATTGCATAGCCTTAGAAGTAGTCTCCTTACAGTTCACTTTCCAATATATTCAATAGATAACAATTTATTCAATTACATAACCACCATGAGAGCTATGTATAATGAATTATAGTAAGCTCAGACATGCACCACAAAGATCTTTAGGTAAAAGTAATTTTTAATAATTTAGGATGGAAAGCAACCTTAACAGACACAGCATTGCCATTTTTATAAGAATTTAAGTCATAGGTCCATCTGGTTATAAATTAACAGCTTAATTACTACCAGTATGTTGAGTTTTTGAGTTTCATTGATTTTCATCCATACAAACTACAGTTGTGTTTACACTACAAGCCTTGGCCTAACCTTGGCTGGACCAAGGTAAATGTGGTGTATTTACACCATTACACTGTGTGTTTTTTTTTAGACTGGATCACTTTGGCCTAGACTTTTTTACATTGTCCATTGGTGGCCGCTAATCTCTCACTGCAAGAACACGTTGCCACGGAAATAATGCCCAGGCCAGGGCTGAAAGTGTTTACACTTCCACAGGCCTAGGCCAGGACTAGGCCAACAGTTGTAGTGAGCCCAGATTTATTGGCCTAGGTCAGGCCAAGGCCCAAGGTCTGTTTTCACTCTGTCAAAATGTAGGCCAATGCCAGGCCAAGGCTGGTAGTGTAAACAAGACTTACAATACTATATGACTCACATTATATTTTCATCACTGTCTTTATCACTATTTCCATCACTGTCTTCATCACTCAATGAACATTCAGATAATGAATTCAGGTCTGAATCACTGCCCACATCACTTGAACTGCTCCCCGATGGTGATGAGCGATGTACAGATACTGTGTCATCTAAAATCCTGTAACTTTGATTCAAGTTATCTGAAGATTGTGATAAACCAGTAATGTCTACTATATCATCTTCTTCTGATCTATAAATAAGTGTAATGTACAAAATACATTTAATACTGTACAATGATATTCACCATCATAAATTAATTGAATTATGACCACAGACACATATACTCTAATCTTATTTAAATTAAATTGCATTAGTTGGCTTACTCGCTGGAATCCATACTAAGATGTAACTCAGTTGTCTTCTCTAGAGGTTTCGACTTTATTGGTGTCGAAGAAAACATAGGGGGCACATCAACTGCAGAAGTAAAATATAGTACTATTATTAGCCAATTAGGTGAATAAAAACAAAATACATCGAGAAATTAAAACAAATGCTATATATTCTTTCTAGTTCCTTACAATAGTCATGTGGAGGTAAGACTTACATTGTTCACTGTCCATATTTACGTCTATCTCTTCAATCATGGCTTTTGGGTTCGACTTCGCAGCTCGTTGCTTTCCTTTGCGATTGGTTCGCGTATTCCTGCCGATCCTTATTAAAAATGCAAGCGAATATTCAAACAACGATTAACATTTTGCTGTATAATGCAAAACAATTTTAAAAACCATATACAGATCTGATCATGCATTAAATCATTTACATACTTGTTTTGTCTCTTCAGTTCCAATGACAACAAGTGCATGGCAAATGCGGTGTCACCCTTGTATCCGCATAATGTTTTCATCTTTTTCCAGCTTTCGTGTACCGTAATCTCTAAAGCAATTCTTCGGTGATGGGAATGCCACTTTTCTTTGTATAATATTCGTTTTGCCTCGCCTTTCTTAAACGAATTTGGTGATAATAAAGGTCTTCCGCTTCCTGCACGAGTACCGCCATGTTTTGATGTTGTTGACTCCATGTTGTGAGCTGTTTTTTATCACAACCGATAAAAATATCCAGTAAAAATACGTTTAAGATTAATAGTACATGATTGGATAAGAAGCATCAGTCTTGAATTTTATGCTACATAACGGGATGTGCTGAATAACGAAGAGATTATAAATAGTATCGTCTAGTTCCTCAGCAGTATCGTATTTCACTCCAAACTTGATTAATTGTTGGCAGACAGTTTTTCAAGTTCGCGCATATTTTGGATGCGCAGTAGCACCGTGACATTGCCCCTTTAAGGTCACTCCATTCCTCTGTCATTTGTCGCGCGCCGCAAGCACTCAATGAAAAGCATTGTTCATATATATAAGGTTGGCAACTATCTCAACTGACGAATACGACTTCGGCAGAACGCAAAATACTTCCCACACGTAAATAAAACATGATAAAATATTATACCACATTAAACTCTGCATGATAATTTTTCTATATATCCGCTCATAAATTTTGTTTTCAAGACTGGAAGAGAGCTGAAAAATTTGCACAAACGTTTCATGGTTTTACGAAAATTTTGTTGTCACCATGCGGGATGCTAGAGGTTATTTCATTCTTCATATTTTCAAAGAAATTATGCGATTCAATTGGTTGAAAAAATAAACAGTTTGTGACGTTTTTATAGTAAAAATTTGGTTTCAAGGGGGTTGAACTACAACAGGAAGACTGCTAAAATGCAAGAGCGATATTTTTCGAAAATGCAATGGTGGATTTTAAAAACTTTTTACATCCATCCATATATTTTATGAACAGCAAAACAACTAGGCAACTTTTGGCTATACATGTACACGTAATGTCATAAAATTCTGAGCAATAATGGCAAAGAAAATTTGTTAACAAGACGCATGGCCAGAAATGGAGGACATCAAGCGGTCAGGCGTGCGGGCTCATGTTTTCTTGATAATTCAGTGCACTATACAGATCAGTGGTTCAGTTTGGCCAATACAAAATGGCTGTTTATTTAGTTAGTGATTTTTACTAGTATAGCTCAGTGAGTTTTACCGATAATTAATCTGAGCACGGCAAATTTATAAATTGAAAATAAGAAGAGATAAGCCAATGAATGGCTTTCAACACATAATTTCCATTGCAAACAAGTATGCATATGGCACAAAGGCGGAATATCCGACAATGCAAATTCAACCAGATATATAGAAAACAAGCAAAATTATTAAATATAACAAACTTCACGCCAACCGAGTCTTGATCGATGCTCAAATTTCAAAAGTCTACCAATATTCAATAGTCAAATAAATGTTTTGAAGTAGGAAAATCACATTTATTGCGAAATCCCGCGAATTTTAGGATGTTTATGAGACTACAGCCTATAATGACAGCGGTTAAAACCATTGTAACGTAGCAACAGCTTTATAAAAGCAATGGCGGACAACAAATATAACTCTTGGTGCGAAATTTGTGATATTTATGTTCAAAATATGCTGCATTTCTCATCACAATTGGACAAACGCCTCTTTAGAAATACATGCAATTCATCGCTTTGGGGAACACACTAGTGTACACTTTTACGCTTCATACAAGTGACAATAATAAAAAGGAGTACTGTATGAAGCAATTCAGATATGCACATTTGACGATATCTGCAAAGAATGAGTTGAAATTGGACCTGCAAAATACCTAATATGTCGAAATCACATACTTTCCTATACAGAGATTAAGGCAAAGATATTGAATGCTCGGGAACATACTTAGACAACTCGAGTTGTACCAATTTTTTTACGGATAAAAGTTTGACCGAATCGGTGAAGTTTTAGATATGCACATTTTGGATTTCTCAACCGTAAGTTACCAAAAATACAAATCTTACATTATTCCCATTCAAATTATAAAAGAAGACGCCATTTTGAATTTTTATTTTGAGTCAAAATGCGCATGCTTGGCGGCGTCAACTATTTCGCTGACCTCAGAGTGACATTTCGTCAAAACTTTTTTCTTCAAGATTGGTTTAGAAACAAATTTGGAGTAGGGTTAGATTCGGGTTAGGGTAAGGATTAGGGTTAGGGTTAGAGTTGGTGTTTGGAGTAGGGCTAGTGTTAGTAAAACCGTTGCTTTGTTACGTTTTGTCACTTTGAGGCCAGCGAAATAATCTCTTCCATGCTTGGCAGCCATGTTGGGCTTCATTTCTGGCCATGGCGATATGTGAACACGCTTCGTTGTGACTTGTGAGTTGTGAACTTTGCTCGGCAAAGTTTATATAGGTGAATTTATTTATAGCATTTTAATTTAACTTGGATCAATAGAATAGGCTGCATTTTGTTAGAGTGCAGGCGCACGTACAATAATATAGTGCATTTATACTCACTGCTACTCTGCTAGTATTATTAAAACTGCCCCAACATGGAATTTTGCATTTTAATATAAAACAACCTCATATCAAAGTTCTGAAAGTTTAATACGTATTCTATAATAAAAGCCTAATCATCTCTCTAGTTTAAACTTTAAACTTTAAAGTACATGTTAGTTTTTAACAAAAACTAATTATATTTTTTAAAATGCACATTTATGACTGTATGTATTACAGTCTTACTGATATTAAATAAAACAGGGGCAAGATGCAAATTTGTTTTGATATTAAAGAACAGTTTTATAGTGAAAATATTCAGTATTCACTTGGAAATATTCTTTCTATATAGCTATTTAAAATTATAAATGGAGATCCAGTACAAACACCTATTTAATACTGAATACTTGATTACTAGGGAATGATGCTACCCCAGAAATAGACTATGTGAGGATTGTTGGGGAAAAGGAAGGTCCATTGTTTCCAAATGAAGCACGGAAATGAATTCCTCCGCAATTCAGTTACTACTCGCTCCCAACACTACATCTCCCCCATATACCCAAACCCCCATTCTCATATACCCAAACCCCCATTCTCATATACCAAACCCCCATTCTCAAATACCCTACAACCCCGCCGATTCGCATGTGCCACACACACAAACCAAACTATAATCTATCAAGCAAACAAACCGGCAATGGACAGTATGAAAAAAAATGCAAGTGAAAAGCGATAGGTGGACTAGCATGGACAAGCGATAATGAACGCAGAGAATAAGCGACAATCCAAATTCAATAGCTACAGTACCCGTGCTCTGTCGCAAACACTGATCATGCCGGCATTGCTAGATGTACCTCTCTCATACGCCAAACACATTAGGAAATTTATTTAAAATCCCAATTCAGTAGCGACTGGTGCTCGGTCTCGAGCAATCTAGCATTGCGAGATGCACGTCTCTCATACGCCAAACACATTGGCAACTTTGTTTAAAATCCAAATTCAATAGCTACTCGTGCTCGGTCTCAAGCAATCTAGCATTGCGAGACGCACGTCTTTCATACGCCAAACACATTAGGAAATTTATTTAAAATCCCAATTCAGTAGCTACTCGTCCTCGGTCTCAAGCAATCTAGCATTGCGATATGCACTTCTCTCATACACCAAACACATTGGCAACTTTGTTTAAAATCCAAATTCAGTAGCTACCCGTGCTCGGTCTCAAGCAATCTAGCATTGCGAGATGCCCTTCTCTCATACGCCAAACCCATTGGCAACTTTGTTTAAAATCCAAATTCCATAGCTACTCGTGCTCCGTCTCAAGCAATCTAGCATTGCGAGATGCACGTCTCTCATACGCCGAACACATTGGCAACTTTGTTTAAAATCCAAATTCAGTAGCTACCCGTGCTCGGTCTCAAGCAATCATGCATTGCGAGATGCACTTCTCTCATAGGCCAAACACATTGGCAACGTTGTCTAAAAGCCAAATTAAGTAGCTACTCGTGCTCGGTCTCAAGCAATCATGCATTGCGAGATGCCCTTCTCTCATACGCCGAACCCATTGGCAACTTTGTTTAAAATCCAAATTCAGTAGCTACCCGTGCTCGATCTCAAGCAATCTAGAATCGCGAGATGCACTTCTCTCATATGCCAAACCTATTGGCAACTTTGTTTAAAATCCAAATTCAGTAGCTACCCGTGCTCCGTCTCAAACAATCTAGCATTGCGAGATGCACTTCTCGCGTACGCCAAACACATTGGCAACTTTGTTTAAAATCTAAATTCATTAGTTACTCGGTCTCAAGCAATCTATAGCATTGCGAGATGCACTTCTCTCATACGCCAAACCCATTGGCAACTTTGTTTAAAATCCAAATTCAGTAGCTACTCGTGCTATGTCTCAAGCAATCTAGCATTGCGAAATGCACGTCTCTCGTACGGCAAACACATTGACAACTTTGTTTAAAATCCACATCAGTATATGTACCCGTGCGCGGTCTCAAGCAATCTGGCATTGCGAGATGCACTTCTCGCATACGCCAACCCATTGGTAAGTGTGTTTAAAATCCAAATTCAGCAGCTACCCGTGCGCGGTCCCAAGCAACCATGCATTGCGAGATGCACCCCTCTCATACGCCAAACACATTGACAACTTTGTTTAAAATCCAAATTCAGTCGCGATATATCCGTGCTCGGTCTCAGGAAATCATGCACTTGCGAGATGCACTTCTCTTACACGCCAAACACATATTGGCAACGTTGGTTAAAATCCAAATTAAGTAGCGACGCGGGCTCGGTCGCAAGCAATCATGCAATTGCGAGAGGAACTTCTCTCATACCCCAAACACATTGGCAACTGCTAAATCCATAGTAGGATTTGTGCTCGGTCGCAAGCAAGCAATTATGTATTGCGAGATGCCCTTTGGTCATACGGCAAACACAGTGGTCCTCTTTCGCTCAAGCAAATGCAATAAACTACGGAAGCTCGGAATGAAGCAATCATGCAGTGCAATTCGCTCCCGTCCCATACCATACGAAAACACAACACCCAATAACCATTTTATTAAAGACGAAAGGCAATCACCATAGCCTATAGCTATTTTGCTTTTCAACAATTTAATCTTGCGAAATGCACTGAACTGAAATAACCGAAAGCGAACTTGACGATAAATAACCCCGCACAAGGACGGTTATACACATCAAATGAAGATATAATGTATAACATACAACAGAACTGTAACTAAAACCACAAGTGTAAGCGATCCTTAAACACACACAGAAAAGAGGCGGCCGTATTTTCCGATCAGCCGCCCACGAGTGAACCATGCATGCATGCGTTATACAACAAAAAATAACTTCGCCACACCGATCATATTCTGCAAACAAAGCGATATAACTACCCAAAGGGCAAAAATCGTAACTAGACCAGCAACAAAACACACGCTACAATACAGACAAATACCAATATGAATAAAAGAATCACGTCCAAGTCCAAGTTTGATGCCTGAAGCTGCTCATTTTCAATTGGATCATTCACCGGCGAAACTGGTTCATCCTGAGGCGGAGCGGAATCAAGATCAATCGGTTGGGCAACAGCATTAATTCGCAAGTACCGCTTCTTGTAAACGTGCAAGGAGGTCGAACAGGCATGGAGCCATACTGTAATGTCTGTAAATTTCTTTATCTTGCATTACTCTGTCTTGACGATCAGCACAGAAAGAACAGTTGCAACCTGTAAACTAGGGTTTTATGCAGCCTAGTCCCAGTCGTTCTGAAGCAAGCGCGAGAAAAAAGTGGATGTAGTACGAGACTGGGACCTAGGTGTGACGTCACCGCTCAAGGTGCTTCAGAACGCCTAGCAGACTTCAGGGTTGTTTACCATTTACACGTAAAACCCATCCGGTTTGAAATTGTGCTAATGGTAAGCAAAATTTCGGATAGAAAATCCCATTCGGATTATTCGCTTTCCATTTAATAATTTCAATTGTTAAATCGCGAAGAGCCTGGAACTGGTAAAAAAAAATTAAAAATGTAAATGGAACAACATTTACGGGTTGAAACTTTCCAATCGGTAAGAAAGGACAACCTTTTCAAACAAACCGTTTATTCCAGAAAAATTCCGGTTGGACCGTCGAAATATGCTTGTTCCATTTACTTTCCGTATGGAATCACCGGAATTTCCATGTAAATGGTAAACAACCCAGTATTTTTAATATGGCGGAAAATTTATATATACAAATAACCTTTTAATTAAAAATACGACAATGTTCGTTCATCATGTACATGTTCTATGTCTACATAACCAAATCAAACTGTATTAAAAATGTGCTCAACTAAAAAGAATTATATACAAATTTACGATACCGAGTTTGAGCAATCGTTGATGTTATTTATGTACTCGCAAGTTGTGATCAACACTAGACCATACTGGTATACACAACTACGCTTTCTACTTGACAGGTTTAAATTGCTGAGGAGATTGGAAATATTTGCCTGACATGACGGTGTTGTCAAAACATTCTTAGTCGGAGATTCGGCATAATTTTCAAGCTTCTAGATAGCATTTAATATGGCTATATATTTTAGTGAACACGAGTCATATTTAGCCCTTTATTCCATTCTGACCGTATTGTAGCGAAACGTAGCCTATTTCATTGTTCCGACAGCATTAGAGCAAAACTAATGACTTTATTATAAATGCAAAGGAAATTTCCATAACATTTTCCATTTACAAATGAGTATGCTTGGTAACCAGGCATAGGCTCTCTCGCTGATGCGTTCCGCACAACACACCCAGGCATAAAACTTTTAAGACTTATTTAAAAATATCAAAGCAGCGAATAGAAAGAGAGCCTGGGACTAGGCTGGGTTTTATGCATTATACATCATTATTTATTCATAAAACAACGTTAATTACTCAAATTCCATTAGTTAATCAGCTTCCGCGGCGTGTTTGGCCAATTTGAATAGTACAGAATTCAATCAGTTTGCTGATCATCTTGGTTTCCAAAATCAGCGAATAACGCCCTATTGGCCCAAGGCAAACGGAGAAGTCGAACGGTTGATGATAATATTAAAAACAAACAGCTAGAACTGCGAAAGTTGAAGGCAGGTCTTGGAAACAAAACCTGTCTACATTTCTCAGAAATTTCTGAGCTACGCCCCATGGTGTAACCCACCAGGCTCCTGCAACCTTGCTATTCAATCATGAATTGAATTGAATTGATTTAATGACTACTGACTTTGTAACCCAAAAAGGTTAAATTACACCAGTATTACATAAATTAAGAGGATAAGTTAAAATTACCTAATAATTACATATTTAAGATTATTTACATTTCTAAAAACTTATTTACTGTTAATCTTTAATATACTTGGAGGTAAAAACGAATTCTTAAAACGTTCGGTTCTGCAAACATAATTATGATATTTACATATCGGTCTTAGATCATATCCAGATAAAATAGGCCGCTTGCCGTGACCTAAAAATATGCCTAGAAAACGATTTTCATTAAGCATGTCGTGGAACTGAAATATTTTCGGTTAAACGGGTTAAACGGCATACTCTGAGTGATGTTATTTAATTTCAAAATGGCGCGTGTTTATTTTTGTTCGTCGAAGAACTGAAAATACAAATGCAATTTGTGAAAAAACTGCGGGTCTACCGAGCGGCAACTTTTCGGATTTGAATTCAGCGTGTTCTAAAATGTTAGTTACCGTGAAAATATTTCAGTTCCACGACATGCTTAATGAAAGTGAACGATATCGGGTCACGGCAAACGGCCTAAAACTGTTTGTGGTAAAAGATCTTTGAGATTTTCATTGTCAATATTCTTCTCAAAGAAATGTTCGCATAATTTTTCTCGGCGATCTCTCAGTGACGTGCTGTTAGTCGTGATCAGCGCTTCGTCGTACTTTTGCGATGGGAGGATGATTCTCAACGCGCGTTTTTGTATTTTTTCAATATCGTCACATAAATATTGTTGGATATTGTAATGCCAGACCTGGCATGCGTACTCCAAAACAGGCCTAATAATGGTAGTATATACAGTAATTAACGTGTCAATACACGCGTTGGACCTTTTTAGCAGTCTTAGCATATAGAGCCTCTTGCTAGCTTTTTTAACTATGTTGTTTATATGTTCATTCCACTTCATGTTATCTTGAACTGTGAGGCCAAGGATACGGGCAGATTTCTTTCGTTCAATATTAACTTTATCGACTGTTAAAGGGGGAAAGCAATGCTTCTTGTTTGCAAAATCAATAACCAGTTCTTTGCATTTTCCAATGTTTAATTTTATATTATTACTCGTAGTCCAGTTATTGATGCAATTAACCAGTTCTTGAAGGTTGCTGTTACAATCTGGGCCAATGGTTTCGGTAGTGGTGGTGTCGTCAACGTATTTCCATCGGTCTTTCCAATCAGCGAGGAGATCATTTATCATGATTAGGAAGAGGATTGGGCCTAAAACAGTTCCCTGGGGTACTCCACCGTTGAGTATTTGCCATTCTGACACCCAATGGGGGCATTCTGACCCGTTGGCTTCGTTGAGTAAGAAAACTTCTTATCCAGTTTGTTATTAATGATGGAACGTCCATATCAGATAATTTACTGAGGAAGATGTTATGATCAATATGATCAAAAGCTTTGGAGAAATCTAATAAAAAGATTCTCACAGCGTTTTTCGGCACATCGGTTTCGTTTAATAAGTGATGGAGTTCGAAGGCTCAATAATGCGGTCATTCAACATGTAGCACCCGCTGAATCAAACCATCAACAAGCATTTGATGCATCATGTACTGTCATCTACTTTGACAAACGAAACAAAGGTAAGCCTTCTGAATTCAAAATCCGTGATACAGTCCTGCTGAGAAACTCAAAGAAAGATAAACTGCAAACTCCTTATGAGCATCAGAAATACCAAATTGTTGAGAAGAAAGAATCGATGATTACAGCGTCAAATGACAATCTCCAAGTCACTCGGAGCTCATTACATTTTAAAATTTAAAGAGAAGAAGGGTGCATGAAACAGATAATCCAGGAGATAAAGAAGAACAGCCAAGCAAGAATGCCACTTCTTCGTTTTCATATGTATTGAGATTACAGTATCCAAGAGTACGTCATTGTAGAATAGTCTTAATCGAAAAATTGACAGCATTTTGTAACGTGTTAGTTTATTACGATATAGTTTCTGATTAACAAGAAATCGAGAGAAATAGTCATTTGTTTACAATATGTAAAACGCCTAGCTTGTGTTACTTTTTGTACGCCTCGCTCGTCGCGCCTGTCAATCAAATTAATGTTTTCGTCATCGTGACGTCACCTAATAACATCGTGACATCTTTTCCCCTTTAACAAAATATGAAACTACTGTATAATATAGAATTGTATATATATGCATAAAGTACTGGTACTTAACGTTTTAGTTGAGAGCGTTCACTTCATGACATAGTCCTTGTGCCACACGTGCACCGGTGTATATTTTGTACGCGTAGATCGGCGTGGTAGATTTCCAATGGTCTCAGCGGAGGTTTCACCGTCTAATAGTGGTACGTGTTCGAGATTGGGTTCATTCACAATCGAACTGTTCTCGGGTTCCCTACTGCTTTGCTCAGGTCCAATCTCAGGATCATACCAGCTGGTGGTGTTGGAGGTCTTTCTTGCGATGCTCGGAGTTGTCGGCGGTTTCGTCGGTATTTCCTTCCACTCACCTCTACTTCGTACGATCTGTTATCCAAGACCCTGGTACACGTTCCAAGGGTCCATTTTGTTGCATTTGGTAATTTCATTCGTATAGCTTGACCTTTTTTTAATGGCTTAAGAGGATGGTGCGTCTTGTTATAATGGCGAATTTGTCGTGATTTCCGAGCAGCCAGTTTATCTCTAGTGCCTTCGTTGATTGGTTGTTTAAGGAGATTTTTGTGAGTCGGTAACAGTGTTCGCGTACGTCGCCCCATCAACCTTTGGGCAGGTGATGATCCCAGACCTTCTGTGGGGGTGTTTCTCCAGTCTAAAAATGCTAACAATGGGTCTTGACCAGCAGCTTTGGCTTTTGTCATCAGCATTTTGCAAGTCTTGACCGCATTCTCTGCTCTGCCATTAGATTGTGGGTAACGAGGGCTTGAAGTTAGATGCTTAAACTGCCAATCTCTTGCAAATGCTGAAAATTCTGTGGCAGAAAACTGAGGTCCGTTGTCTGTTATCACTGTATCTGGGATTCCATGTCGTGCAAACTGGACTTTGCAGGCTACTATGACTTTATCAGCGGTAGTTCTCGTAAGTTCTTGGACCTCGAAGAATCCACTCCAGTGGTCTACGAGCAGAATAAAGTGTTGTTTTCCAAGCTCAAAAAGGTCCATACTGACCGTTTCCCAGGGACGGAATGGTATTGGGTATGGTTTTAATTCTTCACGACATTGTGCCGGTTGATACGCCTGGCATGTTGGGCATTTAGAAATCAAATCTTTAACCTCTGCGTTCATGAGTGGCCAATATAATACCTCACGGGCTCTCCGAAGACATCCTTCTATGCCAATATGAGATCGGTGAATCTGCGTCAGCATTTCTTTTCTCATTGATTTTGGGACTACTAAACGTTCTCCAGCGAAAACTAGTCCATTATCAACTACTAGTTCACTTCTTTTGTCGTAGAACGGTGCCAAGTCCTGGCTGCACTGTCTCTTGGATGTAGGCCAGCCATTCTTTACCGCGACGATGATACTCTGCATGGTTTTATCTGACGGTGTCTCGCGCTTGAACTGGTCGAGTCTGTCTGGAGAAATAGACAGATTCTCTGCATGGTCGATCTCTTCCAGGGCTCGTACCTCAGTCGTGTCATGACGCCAAGATTCTGTTGTGTTCCGATATGCACGACTCAGGGTGTCCGATATCCACATGAGTTTGCCTTTCTTGTACTGCACGTTGAGATTGTAATTTTGGAGGGCCAGCAGCATTCTCTGCAACCGTTTAGGCGAGCTATGTATAGGTTTGATGAAAACTGCCTTAAGCGGTTCATGATCGGATTCTATGGTAACGGTTTCTCGGCCGAGGATATACTGATCGAATTTGCTTGTTGCCCAGACAATCGCTAGTAATTCTTTTTCAATCTGGGCGTAACGAGTTTCTGTATCTGTAAGTGCCCTCGAAGCAAAAACAACGGGTTGTCCGTCTTGCGTTAAGACAGCACCTAGGCCAGTGTCACTAGCATCACATTCAATAGTAACTTCCTTGCTGACATCGTAGTATCTCAGGACCGGCGCTTTGGCTAGAGACTTCTTGACAGTGTCATAGGCTTGCTGGTGTTGTTCGAGCCAACACCACTCTACATCCTTATCTTCAAGTCTTCTCAGCGGTTCGGTCATGTCCGACAATAAAGGTAAAAATTTTGCCAAATAGTTTACCATCCCGAGAAATCTTTTGAGGCCTTTTGTGTCAGTTGGGGCAGGCATGTCTAAGATCGCTTCGACTTTTGCTGGATCAGCTTTGAGGCCATCAGCGGTAATGAGGTGTCCCATGAAACGGACTTCTGTCTGTGATCGCTTCAACTTCGATTTATTCAGCTTGAGGTTCCACTCACGACATTTCTTGAAAAATGCCCGTTCATTCGTTTCCAAGCTTCGATCGACCTCCTCTCCAGTTTCTCCAAATCCCGCGATAAGGAAGTCATCTGCTATGACTTCAACTCCATTAAGACCTTGAGCAAACTCATGCATTCGCCTTTGCCAAACTTCGGGTGCACTCGATATTCCGAATGGCATGCGAGTCCAACGGTACCGTCCGAAAGGGGAGTTGAACGTTGTCAAATAACTCGAAGCCGTGTCAAGTTTGATTTGGTGAAATCCGTCCTTAGCATCGCAGAGTGTGAATTTCTTGGCACCCGTTAATCTTGAAGTGACTTCATCTACAGTGGGTAGTTGGTAATGTTCGCGTCGTATAACACGATTTAGGTCTCGCGGGTCGATGCATATACGGATCTTGTTCGGCTTGACGACTGCCAACATACTGGATACCCAACGAGTGGGTTCTGTGACAGGGACAATGACTTTTCGGTCGACTAACTCATCTAGTTTGGCTTTTATTTGAGATCGTAATGCGACTGGAACACGTCGAGGGGCATGGATAACTGGCTTCGCCGTATCTTCTATAGTTATCGTGTGAGCTCCTGGTATCTCGCCCAGGCCATCAAAAACGTCGGCATACTCTTCTGCAACATACGAGTTGTCTTCTGGAGGCTTTATTGTCAGTGCCAAAATATCACAGTTGGTCAAATTGACAACGGCAAGAGCGATGCTTGTATCTAATGATAAAACTGGTTGATAATCTCCGTGAATAATGTTAAAGTTCAATGTTCTTTGCTGATCTCCGAACCACACCGGCAATTTGGCTCTTCCGGTGATTTTACGGTGTTCTCCTGTGTACGAAACGATCTCTTTCTTGCAGGTCTTTAGGCGTTGCAGTTGTTTGTCACCAGTAACTTGTGTTTCAAGTACTCAACGTTCAAACTTTTTAATATCAACCTTGCATAACATACAAACTCTCTAGTCTCGGCCTTTGTTTCCACGCCTTAATTCCTATATTGTGTTTCTTTGTATCCCCAGTCATTTGTCAATCACAGTAACTTAATATCAAACCTATTATTAATATTAACTAGTAATCGTATTATAACGTATATTTAGTACCTATTGTAACATCCTCCCCGTTTTGCAGTTCCGCCTTCCGTTGTATCTCTGGCTCGGATGTCAGTGCTCTTAAGGAGTCTGTGACTGTGTCGACACTTTAAGATTGTCAATTTTAACGTTTATCATGTTTATCCCAGTGCATAGTCAGCAAAATATGCTGGTGTTTTGCGTACACGTTGTGGACGTACTGGCTTAGAAGTCTCAGGCTGATGTTTGGCTGGGCTAAGTGTTCCTGGTTCCTTTCTCATCGGTTCCAAGCCTGGACTTGGTAACTTTTCTACGATTCCATTCTCCTCCTTGGGACTTTCGCAGTCTGTTTCAATATCAACTTCCCCGACTTCACTTTGTACAGGAGCTGACTCTGCAGTCTTTCTGGGGTGATACCGATTACGGCGATATCTAGTTCCTTCAGCGGTCTCTACAATGTACGATCTATCATCACTTCTCTGTACCACTACACCTTTCTCCCAAATACGGACCGCAGGCTTCGATGGCTTAATCCGAACTACCTCCCCTTTTTTCAGTTTTGGTAGGTCTTTAGCATTACGATTGTAATAATGCGCTTGAGTCTCTTGTTTTTCCTTGATCTTTTGCTGTTGTTCCGCGGGACATGGTACTGCTGGACGTAGCAATGTTTCTTTGGTTGGCAGCAACGTTTTCGTTCTTCGATTTAAGAACCCCTGAGCAGGACTTGTGGTCATTCCTTGCGTAGGAGTATTCCTTTGGTCGAGGAGAGCTAGATGTATATCGCCGTTGCTATCTCGTGCTTTGCGTAGAAGCTGCCTGGCTACTTTTACGGCCGCCTCGACTTTCCCGTTAGCTTTACTATTCCAGGGGCTTATGGTACGGTGCTCGAATTCCCACACTTTGGCAAAAGTGGCGAATGCTTCGCTGGAAAATTGTGGGCCATTGTCACTTATTACTGTTTCTGGACAGCCGTATCTGGCGAAATGTCGTTTAAGTTTGGCGATCACGGCAGGGCGGTTGTGGTTGATAGTTCGTCAATCTCCCAAAAGTTGCTGTAGTAATCCACTGTGATGAGGAACTCTTTGTTATTGTAGGTGAACAGATCAGTTGCAATTTTCTCCCACGGACGGCTGGGAATTTCGTGAGATTTTAGTGTTTCTTTCGTTTGACCGCTGCTAAATTTCTGACACGTGTGACATGCTTCTACAAGTTGACGTATTTCTGCTGACATACCCGGCCAAAAAATGCATTCTCTCGCTCAGCGCAAACACGACTCAGTTCCCATATGGGATGAGTGTATCTTTTGCTTCATAAGCTGGCGTAAACCCGTCGGAATCACGACACGTTCGATGGCGCTATAAATATTGGCAAATTCGATGGCGCTATAAATATTTGTGGCGTCTGGGCCATTTGTGGCGCTTGGACTTCTGCTTGTGGCTCAACCATCGTTTTATTTCGACTCAGAATACTCCTGACACCATGTAACGTGTTAGTTTATTACGATATAGTTTCTGATTAACAAGAAATCGAGAGAAATAGTCATTTGTTTACAATATATAAAACGCCTAGCTTGTGTTACTTTTTGTACGCCTCGCTCGCCGCGCCTGTCAATCAAATTAATGTTTTTGTCATCGTGACGTCACCTAATAACATCGTGACACATTTGTCCCATTTGGAAGGGAAAAGCCTCCCGTATACCATTTAGGTTAAAAATAAAAAAACAAATAATTTGAAATTCACGCGCAATCTTCGCGAAAACGTTTCGTGGACACATGACATGGGGGGTGGATATTTTCACGAAACGTTCGTTCGCCACCACAGAAACATAACTAAATAATATATTGTATTTATTGTATTTTTATGATTTTTGATAAAAACAAATATTTGCGTAGTTTTGACAAATATGATAAATATTTGCGTAGTTTTGTCATAAATCATAAAAATACAATAAATACAATATATTTAGTTATGTTTCTGTAACAGAAACACAACTAAATTAATTGTATTATGACAAAACTACGCAAATATTTATTGTTTTTATCATAAATCACAAAAATACAATAAATACAATATATTTAGTTATGTTTCTGTGGTGGCGAACAAACGTTTTGTAAAAATATCCCCCCCCCCCTGTCATGTGTCCACGAGAAGTTTTCGCGAAGTTTGCGGGTGACTTTCAAATGATTTGTTTTTTATTCTTAACCTAAATGGTATATGGGAGGCTTTTTTCTTCCAAATGGGACAAATGTTGTCAATTTTTCGATTGGGACTATTCTACAATGAAGTACTATTGGATACTGTAATCTCAATACATATGAAAACGAAGAAGTGGCATTTATCGGACAGAGAAGCGGCGAGCCATTAAAATGGCTGTGTCGAAGGACACAATATCGAAGGTAAAATAAACTGCACTGTCTCACAACTTGATGAAACTTGGTTGAAATATTCTTAGGCCTTCATGATTATGTAAAAGTACAACAACTGGATGATATGTTTGCGATGTTACTCTGAGTGCATATCCACACCGGGCGAGCTTGAAAAATATGCCCGGCCACGGTGAGATTCGAACCTGCGACCTTTGGAATACTAGCCCAAAGCTCTGCCGACTGAGCTACGCGGTCAGGACGGTTCGAGTAAGTGATATTTCGGAACAGTATCTAATTCCTTCAATACCAATGTGTATATTATTAGATTACATTGGTATTGAAGGAATCCGAAATATCACTTACTCGAACCGACCTGACCGCGTAGCTGAGTTGGCAGAGCATTGGGCTAGTATTACAAAAGTGGTAGGTTCGATTCACACCGTGGCCGGGCATATTTTTCATGCTCGCCCGGTGTGGATATACACTCAGTCTCAGAGTAACATCACAAACATCATATTACCCCTGAATACACAACACCAACGCAGAAAAAAAAATCGTAGTTGAATATTATGCAATTTACTTAAAAGATACTAGCAAGAACGATTTTTATTCTTTACATAATTACATTTGTCACGCATGTCTGCGAATTGCTTAATTTCATGCAGTTGGCGTATTATAGCTTAATTAATTTCAGTTGCATTGACTAAGGTATTGACTGAGAATGGCAGTCGATATTTCCCATTAAAACTACAAAAACCTTTCCTCCGCCTAATGGGCAAATGCTCACAACTATATATAAAGCGCGTAAATAAATATTCTTTATTTATTTGTAAATTCAAATAATATTCACTCGTGTGAACAAACATATATTCAAGATACTACCATTTTTTTTCAGAAGGATCGAAACAGAAACTGATTTCTATAAGCACCCGAGCAGGTTAATGTGCTTGTACTGTAGAATACGTGCCGAACACTTCAAACCACCTATCAAACCGGCTATCTTCATATGTCCCCGGTTATAGAATTTCTAATATATCTCTTTCCCAAGCTCTTTCTGTAAAAAGCTCATCCTACAACACTGCATTTTGCCTCAATTAAAAATATACAATAAGAGCTATTCTGTCGGCTGATGCTATTCGTAAGTCAAATAATGAAGCAGACAAATTCATCTGCCGTAAAACCAGTGATATATAGAATATAAAGAGCAACAGGTAAATCGCCATTGGTTAATCGGTTTATAACATTTCCTGTGACTTGATAAAGTACGTAAATTTTGGCATTGTAAGCAAAGTTTTAACGAAATATTTCTGTATGTAATTATATATTTTAATTATATGAATCAACATACGCAGAGTTGATGATGATATAAACAACACTTAGGCCTACTACAAATTCAGACAATATCGGTCTTTAAGTTTGAAGTCAAACAATCCCCTTTACTTTCTTGATACCACGTGAATATTGCCAAATAATCGTGGAAAAGAACAGTTGTTGAACTCGATATCTAAAACAGTGCGGTTATCTAAAACCGTATATATAATTGCAGGTGTGTGATTGACATGATTTAATCAAAATATTTCTGGTACTTCCTTTCATTTGTATCGTATTTCGAAATGCAGGGGAATTGAATGTCAGTGTTGTGTTTGGAAACTAATTTAATGCAATCAAATAACTTGATTTTCTTAATACAGACTTCCAATAAACCGTAGCTTTTGTGTATTTTTAATATACACATGTATAAGCAGTGTCTATAATCTCAAATATTTGTAATTTCAATGTAATTTCAATGTAATTTCAACCTCGGAATTTCCTAAGAAATCACTTTGCAATTCTTAAGCATAAAAGATTTTAAGCCGCTGGGAATTGAAATCGAATTGCTAATAGATCTTATTACTGTTGTTGTGCATTAAATAAATGCATAAATTTTGCTTTATGCACTCGCGTATGCAATAATTTTGACAGTTGTGCTATTTTAAATTCCCAGGCGCCTAAAATCTTTTGTCTTTAAAACAATGTCGATTTCTTGGGAAATTCCGAGGTTGCGTTTTTTTTATACACCCTGTATATTGCATGTACCGAAACGTGCATTATACTTGGTATTAAATTAACAAACATAGTTAAATGGTAGTAATTGTACACCCCAGCTCACATGCACAGTCCTTATATGTCATATAGACTATTCTGATGGTTAAATATAACACAGCAGCAGTGGAATAAAGACTACTCTGAAAGCTGATGCTTTTGGTGGGTAGCTTGCCATCCTTATATGCGATTTAAAGTTACATTACATATTTATAATAATCAAATGGGCAATATTCCTACCTTGTTTCCTGGTTATTAAGGAAACTATATATACTTCAACTTGAATACAATCAGAAACGATGGTCAAGGGCGCAGCGTGTTCGTCAAAAGTGATCGCTAATCGAAGTGAGCCCCTTTGATGAGCCCTGGTGCTCTTGGGCAAATGCCAATTTAATAAAATATGTTTATACAAAAAAGTGCATCGCGTATTGAATTCCACATTTAGCCTCCGCCCTGTCACATGATCTACACAACATCTGATTGGCTAATGCGCCTGAAGTGTTCTGTTGACGAGCACGTTCACATTGTGCTCATCTCATGGGGTTATCTGCGAATTATATTTCTGTGAATTTATATGATCATTGTATATGACCCTTCCCAATATGTGAAATTAAACCTCGCTTTTCGTACAATGAAATGTACTGTGAAATCTGCTTCTCAAAATTAATGTTCAGAACAGAGTTTTAATCAAATCTAATGAATTAACTGTGCGCAACTTCACGTGCAAATATGAATTTCAATGACCTATTTAAACGCCATTTGCATTGTAAAGTGAAAATATCGAGTAAGTTTCTTTACATCCTAAAATTGTGGTAGCTATGATTTCGATTTACAGCGTTAACCAGGCGGGAGAAAATATAATGATGTTCTTTCACAATGTGATTGTATATCAAAATGTCAGGCACTTGACATGCAGTCAAGAAAATCTTTGTGCAGTATCAACAAACCATATCTAAATTCTAATATTCATAACTTCAAATGCATTCCAACATTTTGGGCTTATTATTACTTTGTTCTAAATAACCTTGCTTTTTATCACAGTTACTAGAAGCGTAGGGTGACTCATTACATTTGCCATCAGACCTTCCCAATCCCCCTCCCTCACTCGTACGAATAAATATATATTCAAAATACTACCAATTCAGAACCAGATTTCTATTCATGAAATTTAAGCACCCGACCAGGTTAATGTGTTTAGAATACGTGCCGAACACTTCAAACCGCTTATCAAACCGGCTATCTTCATGATCCCGGTTATAGAATTTCTAATATATCTCTTCTCAAACTCTTCCTTTAAAAAGCTCATCCTACAACACTGCATTCTGCTTAAAAACATGCAATGAGAGCTATTCTGTCGGCTGATGCTATTCGCAAGTCAAATAGTGAAACGGACAAATTCATCCACTGTAAAACGAATGAAATAAAGAATAAAAGCAACATGTACATCGGGTTAATCGGTTCATAACATTTCCTGTGACTTGATGAAGTGAGGAAATTTTGGCATTGTGAACAACGTTTTAACGAAATATTTCTGTATGTAATTATATATTTTATGAATCAACATACGCAGACTTGATCATAATATAAACAACACTTACTACAAATTCAGACAATATCGGTCTTTAAGTTTGAAGTCAAAGAATCTCCTTTACTTTCTTGATACCACGTGAATATTGCCAAATAATAGTGGACAAGAACAGTTGTTGAACTCGATATCTAAAACAGTACGGATATCTAAAATCAAACAATGGTAGGTGTGTGATTGACTCATTGACATGAATTT